TCTCTCTCTCTCTCTCTCTCTCTCTCTCTCTCTCTCTCTCTCTCTCTCTCTCTCTCTCTCTCTCTCTCTCTCTCTCTCTCTCTCTCTCTTGCTTGGTCTCGCAGACACATACGCTACACAACAGTACCTCTCTCTCTCTCTCTCTCCCGCCCTCTCTCTCTCTCCACGTCTCTCTCTCTCCTCTCTTCTCTCTCTCTCTCTCAGGTCGAGCGTCTCCTGAACCTAACGGCACCGTGTCCCTTACCTGTGCAAGATCAGATGGATTCTGCTGCTGATATTAAGGGCGATCCTCCAGAGGACGGTGGCTGCACCATGCCATTGTGTCTCTACACAGGCACAGTTCGGTTTGCATGCACATGCCAAAATCTCTGCTCCAAGCGTTATTGAAGGAATGGTCACTGCCCGCCTCTGCCATGAAAACTGTGACCTGTTGTCTTGTTTTCATCCCCATCCCCCCTCCCTCCCTAATTATTGCTTGTCCGATATGCCATGGTTGCCATGAGATGACATGCTTGAATAACTTCGAGCATGCGCCGACTTTCCTGTTGGCATGTCAGCAGGATGCCATATGCCGTCAATGTTTTAGCAAGCTGTCATGGAGAGTATGTGTCTCTACCATCCCTGATGCCGCCACCCACCCTAGATTCTCTCCGTTCATGTCCCACGTGCAGCGTTCGGCATCATTCATCTGCACCTGTAATCGAACACTCTGTATCCTCACCAGACAAGGAACAGATGCAGTCGCCTGCGGCGGAGAATAGACTCTCTCACATGAACCGTGCGCCGTACTGAATGATTATCGCCACCAGGGAAAGCAGTTGCAGACCAGATCTTGCAGCAGCTATAAACCCTTACTTCGGATCAGGCCTGGTCATCGCCTGCCCATAGAGAGAGAATATTGACTGCGGAAACCGAAGAAAATTGCTCAATGCCGCACTGTGATGGCCCACCTGATCTTCGGCTACTGTGTGCACCCAAATACAACGTATGGTCATTGTATCTGTACTTGGGGCAACGCGGAGTCTAGGCAGAGAAATAACTACCGTATGTCGTATTTGGCTGAACACAGCAGCATGTGATCGGCATGCTTTGTGCCGCGAGGATTATGAGCGTATAGCACACTGTATTTGGGACACCTTTGAGTCTAGTTACATGCTTTGTACCACGAGGAGTATGACGGTATAGCACTCACGGTATCTGGCACAACTTTCAGTCAGACACGTCTTCCTTTTCGTACCTATATGATGACAGTCAACGTTGTACTCATGTATGACGACATCCTGACATGTCATGTCCTACCTACGTGTAGAAAATTTTGTTCTCTTGGCGGAGTAGTTTCAAGCTTCGGCCGGCACTTCCAGAAATCCGCTTGCGGAGGGCGGCGCCCTCTGCCATCGATTCGTGTAGAAAATCCGCTTGTGGAGGGCGGCGCCCTCAGCCATCGATCCGTGACTGCCACCCTTCAGTCGGTCCCTAGGGCCTCAAGCTTCAGCCGGCACTTCCAGAACGACAAGGTGTATACAATTTGCGGTCGGCGTGCCTCTGTGTTCCTCGCATGAGGGGAGCCACGTAGTCTGTGACATCTGTCTACGCTGTGTCGTTCGACACAGCAACTGAGGCTGCAAAAATTCGATGCGTTGCTTCCACGGTCCAAACCGGAACCGGTCGTGTCCGATCGGCAGGTGTGGCCACTTGCCATGGGCGATGCCTGCTCCTCGACTCAATTTTCTCCGCAACCCAAACACGGACCAGCCTCTTGTGCCATTCCATAGTCGTCGACTCCGGCAGTGAGTCTCGAGAACTCTGTGAAGTCCGTCTTTTGCCTGTCCTGTTTCGTCTTCCGCCCATCTCCCTCCCCCTCCGTTCCCCCACTTGCACACTATGAAAAGGAGACATAGCATACAGGGAGGGGTATAGTTTGTCTGCTCTCTTCTCTTCATGACGCTCATCCGTATGCCTTTAGTTGTCTGCACCATTGGGGGGGAGGGGGGGCCATCATGAAGAGAACAGACAAACTGTACCCCTACCTGGAGGGGGGAGCATCATGAAGAGAACAAACAAACCATACCCCTACCTGTATACTATGTCTCCTTTTCATAGTGTGCAAGTGGGCGGCTATGGCACACGGGGATGTGCGCAGCTCGTGCTCAACCACATGTAAAAGGAGAAAGCGGAAAGAAGAAGAACAAAAAAAAGGCACGGCGCGTGCAAAAGCCTTGAACATGAGAGGCACAGTAAAAGGAGGAAGCGGAAAGAAGAAAAAAAAAAAACGAGAGAGCACAAACAAAGTTCTCAGTAGAAGCGGAGTGAAGAAAGAACTGCACAAGGAAAATGCTATACAAAGGTTTCAGTCGGCGTCATGGAAGGGAAGGCTGGGCGAGAGTGGAGCGGAAACGCAGTGCAGAAGAAAGGAAGACGGACAGGAGGAGGAGGAGAGTAAAGGGGAGAGGGTAGTGCGTGGCGGTGAGAGAAAGGCGAACAGTATAGTATCGTACAGGAGAGGAGGGGAGTAAAGATAAAGAGGCAACTGAGTCGGCTAAAGAGAAAGACGGACAGTTGGGTGCAGTAGAGGAGACCGTGGGGAAGACGAACAATAGCACGGGGAGAAAGGGATGTGCGTTGCAAAGTGGATGGAGTAGAAGGTGGGGTAGACAAAGCTTGCTATGGTATTTGCGACTGATGCTGCATAGCAATGAGCTCAGCTGCTTCTGGTGCTGCCGCTGAGTTACATTACCCTGGCTATGTGTGCAGTGTGGGTGGTGAAGGAGAGGGAGCAGGGGGCACAATGTGGATTGACACGAGGGTAAGTAAGATCAGAGCAGAGGAGCTGAAGCTCAAGGAGAGCAACGGGCAGCACGGCTGCGGCAATAGGATGGAGTGGGAGCAGGTGCACGCTTGCCAGAAGAGCCAGAATGGGGAACAACAGAAAGCGGTGGAAGGGAGGGAGGGAAGGAGGGGGAATGGAAGCAGCAGCTGCAACTGCTGGAGCAAGGCGATAGCTCAAAAGGGCAGATTTGACGAGGAAGGAGGAGGGAGAGGAGGAGAGGGCGGCGGAGGAGGAGGAGGTGTGGGTACCTGAGGAGAAAAGAATGACATGCCTCAAGGTGCGCAACCTGTCAGACAATGAAAGAATGGAGGAGGAGGGAGAGGAGGAGAGGGAGGAGGTGGGGGTGGGGTGGCTGAGGAGAAGAGAATGAGATGCCTAAAGGTGCACACAACCTGTTAGACAATGAAAGAATGGAGGAGGAGGAGAGGGAAAGCACGGCTGCACTGGCTGTCTGGCGTGGACTGGACTCAGTGGAGCATCCGTTTGTGCAGCCGTGCTTTCCCTTGACTGCGTGGGGTGGCGGCAAGTTGCAACTGAGCACACCACATCCGAGTTTCGAATGTATCCAAGCTACCGTTTGTGTCCCATACAGTCAAAATGAGGCTGCGTTGTTTTCGGGGGAAGACTAGGGCATTTGTGGATGAAGGGTGACAGGAGATGGAGGTTAGCGGAGGAGGAGGAGGAGGAGGAGGAGGAGGAGGAGGACTACGAGGGGAGAATGCATCAAGGATGGCCAGAACACAAAGTCGGGAATAAATTCTGGAGTGGGGTCCACAGTGGGGACTAAAATTTGAGAAATGGAGCGGAAGGGGGGAGCATGGATTGAAAAAAAAAAAAAAAAGGGGGGGGGGGGGGGGGGCGCGCATGGATGCTCGGTCCGACAAAAGGGAAGGAGGAATGCAGCCGACGAAGTTAGGCAGCGTCACACAAGCAAGCATGAAGGACTGGGAGAAGAGGGGCGTGCAAAAGTTCAATCACAGGAGGTGGAAGTTGGGGGAGGAGGTGGGGAGAGAGGAGTGATGGACAAAAGTGAGGAGGAGGTGAAGCTGTGGAAACGAGTATGAAACGATGAAGACACGAGTGAATTCGTGTAGGTGGGGTAGATGGTAGAGGGAAAGATGGGAAGAGAGGGAGACGGGAGGAAGCAATGGGGACACGTGTTGAGAGGGGGCTGATTAGATTAGCAAGGGGGAGGACTAAAGCAAAAGGTGGGAAAGAGAAATGAGAGGGAGTGGTGGAGAAGTGTGATGAGATGGGGCTCTGATTAAATTAGCAGGGGTGCAGTTGGGAAGCAGAGAGAGAGAGAGAGAGAGAGAGAGAGAGAGAGAGAGAGAGAGAGAGAGAGAGAGAGAGAGAGAGAGAGAGAGAGAGAGA